TTGGAAAAGGCTCAGGCGCTCCAGGAGGAAGTAGGGACCATGCTGGCTAAGGGCGCGATGCTCTTAGGACTCATGACAGCTCCTTTGGTGTTCACCAAGCTGCTGGTCGTGGGGTTCCTTCACTCACACGCAATAGACATCCACTTCTATTTCGACGACTCCCTCATGCTTTGTTTGGTGAGGGAATCGCTAGTGAAGGACACTCGTCTGGTCCTGAAACTCTTGCTCAGAGTCGGCTTCATTCCTTCCATAGAGAAATCAGAGGTTTCCCCATCTCAGGACTTTGTCTTCCTGGGGAATAGTTTCGACATGGTTTGGGGCTTAGCCCTTCCACATTTGGAGAAGTTCGAGAAGGCCAGGGCTTTAACCTTCATCGCTTGGTCGCAGGTCCAGGTACGTTGGTTCCTCAGTTTTCTGTGGTATCTCAACTCCCTGGCAGATGTGGACCCCCTAGGGAGGCTTCACATCAGACCTGTCCAGATGTTTCTCCTGTGCAACTGGGTTCCATCATCCAGGAGTGGGAGGCCTGGCACCTGGCACTATTGCTGGCTATCGTACGGCTATTGCCAGTGTCCTTGCGTGTTATGGCAGGAAAGAGATAGGTTCGTCCTCCTCTCTTTCTGCCCTAATCAGAGGCTTCGCTCTGGATAGACCCAGAGTTCGGCAGCTGGCCCCACAGTGGAATCTGGCCCTGGTGCTAGATTCCCTGACTAGGGCTTCTTATGAGCCTCTGGAGTCTGCCTCGTTAAAGTTTGTAACTTTCAAGGCACTCTTCCTTTTGGCTTTGGCCTCTGGACGTAGGAGGAGTGAGGTCTACGCCTTGTTGTTGCTCCCCTCTTGTCTACGTTGGTCCAGAGGCCACGCTGCTGTAACTCTCCTATCTGATCCTTCCTTTTTAGCGAAGAATCAGGTTCAAGGGTTCTCGCCCATTCCCATAAGGATCCCGGCTTTGACTAGCTTGGAGGAGCGAGATAGGTTGCGTTGTCTTTGTCTGGCTCTTAAATTTTATCTCGATAAAACCAAGGGGGGGACAGGGCTCTCGATCCCTTTTGTTTTTGCCCATCAAACAGGGACAACGAGATATCTCCTCCCAGTCAGTTTCCAGGTGGATTTGCCAGGGGATTTAGTATGCTTATGAGCATTCTGATGAGCAAGCTCGGGCGAGAGTGAAAGTGCGGGCTCATGAGGTCAGGGCCCTTGCTGCGTCCTGGGCCCTTCTCAATGGGTCCTCCTTTCAGGAGGTCATGTCTGCAGCATTCTGGCAGGGCAGTAATACCTTCACAGATTTTTATCTGCGATCCCTAGCTTCCCACTCAGAAGGCCTGTATTCGTTGGGACCTCTGGTGGTGGCATAGTCAGTGGCTGGGCCTCCTTGTTAGCCCCGGGGCATGTCTTTCTGTACGGCAGCATGTGGGTACACCTGCTCTTTCACAGAAAGGTCCCTTCCTTCTCTTTGGCACTCTGTTCTCCCTCCCTACTACTTTGGCTGTGCTGAATGGGCTGCCTGGCTTCTAGTCACCACTACAGTGAGATGAATTCGCATACTAAAGTTATGGTAATTATTACTGAAATGAAATTGAGGTTTTTTCATGTAAAACCAATTTTTTCATGAGGTAATACTTACCACCCTATCCTCCCTTTTCCTTATCTGCCTGGCTGCCCCTCTGTGGGGTACATGAATCGTAGGGAGGGCAGGATTGTTTGAATCTTTTGTTGTTGGGATACAAAGATGGGTGTAGGTACTGTATTTGCATACTAAAGTTATGGCAAGTATTACCTCATGAAAATTGGTTTTACATGAAAAAACCTCAAATTACTTCTACAAATAGAGCTTCTATATTAATGGATTATCGCTTGTGTGAAGTACCCACTCCTGTGATAAGAGACGTACCACTCATTAGAATACCTGAGAATGGTTTGTGCACAAAAATTTGTTTAAATAAAAAATGTTCTTCCTTAACAGAGTAATTCTATCACATCCTTATATAGAATTGAACTGTAAGCTTTATTCACTTACAAGCATATCATTTCATTTCTAGTTCTTCATGTGTCCTTACTTTTAAAAAACCTATTATTGCACTTGATGAGAGAATAACCATGAATTATGGCTGATTTTCAAGACTAGTAAGGTTCCTCTTTGAGGTTTCCTTTGCTGTCAGTAAGTAGTTTCAAGACAAATGGGCTTCCACATTCCTGTAACTACACTTTCAAAACAAATGGGATTTCAAAGTACACAATGAGTAAAATTTCCAGATTATACGCCAGCAGCGTAGCTAGTAATTTATCCTTTGCATGCTAGGGAGTGCAGTACCTCCTGCTCAGGGACCAGGGGTTTGGGGTTGTTCTGGGGGCAGATGACAAAAAATGCCATAATGTATTATACATCCCACCTCTTTGACTGTGGTTGTATGTGAAGAAAAGTTGAATCGGTGGGGAAGTATGTCTCCAAAATATCTTAATGTATTATAAATGTTAAATGAAATCACAGCCAGATATTTTGTTGCAGGCTTGAGTATGCAAGCATGCATGGAAGCTTCATCTTTGTAAGGTGATGTCAGGTTACCATTACCAATGATAGTAGTGACACTATGTAAAGTTAACAAGGCCTGAAAAATAGATTAAAACTATCACTACACCAATTCTTTAGTACAAACACATTAAATGTAACTGCTTTATTCTCTTTTGTTACAAAATAGAAGAAAAACATGAAAATATGACATAAAACACTAAAATATGAACTTGTCACAGCATGAAAAACTGTCAAATACGGGCGAAATCAGGGGAAAACTGTGTAAGCTTGGTGAACTTATCAGAAAAGTACTCAATATTTGCAATTTTTTTTTTTTTGTTTTTTTCAAATTCAATATTTGTTCATCAAATTTTTTTTTTTTCTTCAGATCATTTACATAAATTCACAGATAAAAAGAAATGCTCAATTTTTGTCCTTGAGCTTTGAAAATGTTTCAATACTTAAAAATAAGTATAAAACTTTTTATATGCTGATCATACTTGTGAAAAACTCAGGTACAATAAAATTGTTGTACACGTGAGGAATTACTTTTATTTGATTTTCATAGAATAAATTTTCTCCTTAATTTGAATCTGACAGATTTAACACAGGTACAGAAATGTCATGTCACCATCTAGTATTCAAATACACAAACACTGATATGTGTTATCTTTGTGGTTCAGTTTGGAATGTTTTTTAATGAAACAGGATATTTTTAATGTGAGGTAAACATTGTATACCATATTCATTAGTGAGTTCTAAAATGTAGGGAACATGTCAGCTTTATATTCTCCATACATCTCATATTCAAATTCAAGGGGAGAGCTTATTAGAGGACAATCAAATAGCTTATGTCTTAAGTTTCAGTGACCAGCAATACATATTGTTAGACATAAAACCATGTGTTTATAAATTTCGTATATACACTTCCATAAACAAATATTGCTGTGATCAATCGACTATACTAATTGCCGATTTTTCGTCACCTCTGAATAACCCCGTTTACTGTATCTGTCGGGGATTAATTTCTCTGTATTATATTACAAGGCCTTTCTAGTACCTTTAACAACTTCAATACTTCAGGACTATCATATGGAGTATTCAATTTCCAGTTCTTTTAAAAGAACTTTTTATCAGCATATACAAATCACTTGTCTTCTGGGGTCATTTTAAGGATTTCACCTGCTAACGAGTATTTACCGTATTTTATTTCCCATATAAAACTTTACAGATTTACAGACATTTTAAAATTGAACATTATTGCAGGCCAGTTTAAAAGGTTTGTGCAAATAAAAATCCTGATTGTCTCTTAACAATGTAGGTTAACCTATTTTTAAAATGATATCTGTCACATTCTGGTCAGTAATTGACATTTGAAAGCTCAAAGATATCAAGATTTATGTGTAAAAGTGTGGATGTTTTAAAAATAACTTCATCTCCCTAGAATTTCTTAAGTTGAACAGACTGTTTGGATGTTATATAGCTTTATAAGACTTTAATAGGTGTGATTCCAGATTTACATTTACACATGCAAGCTTGGAAGTTTTAGCATTAGATTTAAATCTTAATGGACGTGAAAAATTATTTAATATGTTTTCAAAAAAATAACAACCATTTTTAAAAGGTAATTTTCTGATGGTTATTTCAAGCCCAGCCCAACAAAAAATAAACATTAGACCTGTTTGTAGAATTTTATCAGTATTAAACCTTTCATATTTTTTTAATAATCAATAAAAAATCTTCAACTTTGTTTGCAGCTTCTGTAGCAAAACCACCTTTCCTTTGATGATATCTAAAGTGAAAATGAAATAAAAATCCATTTGACTATTTCATACCTGTAAATCATTGAATTTTCTGTAGGAGATAATGTAAATGTGGTGTTATACCTGCATGTATGTTATTTATGATGTGATTATGAAATAATTGACTTAAGTTATTTGATGCAGTGTGAAGATCAGTTTCTAAGAGGGGTGTACAGCTGAACCCAATCAACTCAAACTTATATAACTCGAGGCCCTGAATAATTCATCGGTATTTCATTTGTCTCGACCAAACACTAAACATTAGAACTTACTTAAATCAAAACTTGGATAACTTGAAGTTTTTGCCGACTTTGGGATACTGAGTTTCAACTGTACTTCATTTGGTGCAATGAAAATTTAGCACTATTTCACTTTTTGGCCAATTTCTGAACACAATGATGTATTCATGCATCCATAACAATTACTACAAAAACAACATATAGAAACTGCAATTAGTGCAATCACATTTCAGTGCACTTTTTAGTGAAAAAACACTAGAATAAGATAACCACTAAAACAGCTACCATATTTTTCAGGTAATAAGCTGCAGCCTTTTTCTCTGTGATACATTTTAAATAACAATTTCAGATATAAACAATGTAAGGATTGAGAGGTATGGCTGGTTTTGGCTAAAAGACTGATTTATGACATTTTGTTAGTCTTTGACATGTATTTCTTTGTCTTTGCAGTTTGTGCACTGGTGATTGGTTTATCAAACTTCTACAGAAATTTACAGGGATTTCCCACTTGTCACATGAGGTGATTACAAGATAATGAAACTTTGAGCCTCAGACGTTACCAAAGGTTCCTTACAGAGACTCTTCTGAATCTTTACATTTCTATTATTGTTCAAGCAAAGCTAGTGTATAATAACTGTAAACATAGGGAGGAATTAATGTTGAAAACAAATTGGAGATATTTCATAATTATTTTGTTTGCTTGAATGAATATTTGCCAATTTTCATATTTTGCAAATGATGATGATTGACATTCAACATTGCAATATTTTTCATTTGATGATGATTCAAGAATTTATAACTGAAATCTACAAAAAAAAATTTTTAAATACTACATAATATTTTTCTAGACTTCTTTTTGTAATGAATCCTCAATTTATTTATTTATTTTGATAGGATAAAACAGACCAGGTTAAAACATTGCTGGAAGCAGCAGATGAAAAATTGTCAATTGAGCAAGGCATTATCAAGTAAGTGTGTCCTACATCTTTATAGTCAATGCAATTACATGTAAGAGAACAAAAAACATGCTTCAGAGGAAACAAACTAAATGTACATTGTGTACTGCTCTTCAGAGGAAACAAACTAAATGTACATTGTGTACTGCTCTTCAGAGGAAACAAACTAAATGTACATTGTGTACTGCTCTTCAGAGGAAACAAACTAAATGTACATTGTGTACTGCTCTTCAGAGGAAACAAACTAAATGTACATTGTGTACTGCTCTTCAGAGGAAACAAACTAAATGTACATTGTGTACTGCTCTTCAGAGGAAACAAACTAAATGTACATTGCGTACTGCTCTTCAGAATAAATAAACTTAATGTACATTGTGTACTGCTCTTCAGAGGAAACAAACTAAATGTACATTGTGTACTGCTCTTCAGAGGAAACAAACTAAATGTACATTGTGTACTGCTCTTCAGATGAAATAAACTAAATGTACATTGTGTACTGCTCTTCAGATGAAATAAACTAAATGTACATTGTGTACTGCTCTTCAGATGAAATAAACTAAATGTACATTGCGTACTGCTCTTCAGAAGAAATACCTTTACTAAAAACCTTGTTCTGTTGTAATCCAACATATTTTTATTTAGTGTTTCATTAATCATTTAAAATGTTTACTGTAAAATGTTGCCTTAACAACAATAAAAAAATTTTTATTCTGATTTGAAGTACATATTTAAACCTGACCCAGATTTTCCACCACACATAAGTATTTCATGGTCACTTCTAGTATATATATATATACTAGAAGTACACACGGAAGGTTGGGTTTAATTAAATCACATTTTAGTGCCCAGTGTAAAGGGAGTCACTGTGTGTAAAAACAATGGACAGATACTTGGTCATACATGAGTAATCTTCCCTTGTTAAACAGTTGAAGCCATTGGATAGATCAGATATCGCAAAACATTTTTGAATCAAAAGAAATTCCTGTAATTCAACATAATAGACTGGTGTGACTGTAAATCGTACACACTTCTCAAATATGTATGAACTAATGTCACACAAATATTCTTGATGTATATCAGCAAGATTTTAATTGTTTTGTTTGTCTTTCAGTCCGTCCGAAGTTGTCGATGGAACTATTGATGAACACACGTTGATGATATATATCTCTCTGCTGCAGAGAAAGGTATTTTGTACATTTTGTAGTAATTTCAAAAATATTAACACATTTCTTGTTGTTTTTTTTTAATTTTTGTTAATCTTTACAACTTATTGTGTAATATATCAAGATGTCAAATCAGCACACTAAATCTTTGTTTGTTTGTTTACGATGTTATGAGTTGTTTGTGTTGATCAACAGTCACCTGTAAATAAATAACAAGAATGAGCGAAACACATAGAGTGTAATTGTTCTAATTAAAGTCGGATTTGAACACTTCACATCCCTTATTTTCTATGACATGAGACTTTTGAGGAATCAGGTATAATTTGTTTTTGTTTGTTTCAGGTAGGAGGTAATGAACATGTTGAAAATGGGGATCATGATCCAGATACTTCAGAGCAGGTATACTAGTGTTTATTTCTTTACCAACTATGCCATGTGGTTTAACAGGAAGGAAAATGGGTCAAGGTTCACTATGTAGAAATTACAATATTCATGTATTGAAATTTACAGTTCCTATGTAAATTAAGCAGAGAAAACTCTGTATAGGGTTGATTAAGATTTTTGTCATGTTACTTTTCTGAATTTCAAAAAACTTATCCAATGCATTGGGATTTCTCTGTATGGCAGTCAACTGATTATTTTTTCACTTCAATTTTTTTATACTAAAACAAAATATGAACTGTGATGATGACACAAATGCACTGTATTGTCTTGAATTGTGCATGAAATATTTAGGATGATTGTTTCGATAATATTACACATGACACATTCCTATTAGTATATAGATTTATATTGATATGCTTGTAGATGGGGAATATATTGATCCAGATTAATGATGCATATACCACAATGTGTTTTAGGTCATATGAGTCAATTCATTTTAAAAAGTGTTTGTTTGAAAGTACAAAAACACTTCAATAGCTTCTTTTTATTTCATTTTTCAGGGATTAATTAAAAGTTCTGGATTGCATTACATTCCAAATGGCGGTGCTAATAATGATGATCAACTGAGTGTAACTAATAATGATGATCAACTGAGTACAACTTCTGGCTCTGCAGTCTCAGGATATAGTCACGGCGACTATAAACAACGTTACAGTGATCGTAGGTCTCCAAGTTGTGAAAGATCAACAACTTCAGGATATAGTTGTATTTCAGGTCTTACTGACTCAGATCAACGAGAAATTGGTAGTGACCGCTTGAAAGATAGCTTCGATAGAAAACAAAGAAAGATTAGCCCTGGAAGTCCTGGTGTACAACGTCCTCGTAGTCATCGCATCATTATGGCAGAAATAAAGGGAAAACTGGATGCTGAACAGAGGAAAAAGGAAAGAGAAGAAGCAGAAAGGCAAAGAAAAGAGGAAGAAGAAAGACGAAGGAAGGCAAGACTTGAAATGAGTATGAGCCACGACATGGGTGGTACACCTGGAAACAGGTCATCTAGTGATGAGGAAAGACGGATTGGAGAAGGAAGTTCATCTGTAGGAGGAAGTTCTTTGGGAGAGCAGCCTCAGCTGATAGGTGCAAATCCCCAGCTTTTTCCAGGAATGAGTGGTGTTCCAATTTTTGTGATGCCCAGTCAAGGTCCACAGGCAATGTTATTATTGCAAGCTCTCCAACAAGCACGTCAAGAAGCAAACTTCCATGGTACTGAAAAATATGCTTCCTCAGAACAAACTCTGCCAAAACTGAACGCATTGTTAGATTTGGATACTGTTGACGAGTACAGTCCGATCATAGCAACAAATGGTGGAGAATCACTAGAATATATCAAGGAATCTCCAGCAAAAGGAAAAGAATCTCCAAGAAGGGAATCCCCAAAAAGGGAATCGCCAAGAAGGGAGTCTCCAAGAAGGGAATCCCCAAAGAGGGAATCTCCAAGGAGGGAGTCTCCAAGAAGGGAATCCCCAAAGAGGGAATCTCCAAGGAGGGAGTCTCCAAGAAGGGAATCCCCAAGGAGGGAGTCTCCAAGAAGGGAATCCCCACGCAGGGAGTCTCCAGGAAGGATATCCCCAGGAAGGGATTCCCCAAGAAGAGCTGGATCACCTGAATTCAGACCAAATAAACGGGGCATCCTTGAGGTTGTTCATGACCCACTTGAACTAAAAGAGGAAATTAACGATTTATCTACAACTGGAAGGGAGGCTGAACAAAGACGATTTCCTCGAGTTGATTTAACAGAACCTGTAAAAGCCATTATTGAAAGGGACAGAAACTCTCCCAGGGATCGAAGCCGAAGTAAATCACCTCGAGAACGGAGATCACTTACACCTGGAACTTCAGACAATGAAGAAATGACAGACAGATCTCAGGAAGACGAAACGATACCTAAATCTATACTTAGAAATAAACTTTCTAGTCCAGAGCGTGCTAGTCGACGAGACAAGACTATTCCTGGGGGCACATTTGAAAAACTCCGTTCGGATCATTCTCCATCTTTAGGGAGACGATCTAGTCCTGATAGATCACATAGAGAACTTTCTTCTGGAGAGAGGTCTTCAGCTTATCCTCAGTCTGATGGAGAGGAAGGATCTGACAGAAGAGATAGTTCTCCTGGGACAAACACCAATAACTCAGATCCAAATAAACGACTAGTTCGAGTATTGAACCGGGAGTTAGAACTTTTGCGATTAAAAATGGATGTTCTTGAACGTGCTAATATGTCAGAGGATACTGACTTGGAAAATCTTGAAAGTGTCACTACAAAATTATCAGAAAAAGTGAAAGAAACTCTAAATAAAGCCACGTCTTCCCCAAAGAGACGACAGTCTCCTGAATCTCTAAGGGGGCGCAAGTCTCCAGATTATGAACGTGGACGAATGTTCCTCAAGAAAGGAATTGATTCTCCACCTCGATCAAGTTCAGACAATAGGCCAAGTCGAAGACATCCATCTCCAGACCAAACTTTGGAAAGCCCTCGATCTCACAGTGTTGGGGACAAGATTTATGAGGATCAAGATGGTCAAATGAACTTTTCGCCAATAACGCGTGGAAAACCTATCAGCCTTGGTTACACAAGTCCAATTCGGAATGTTTCAGAAGAAATCTGGGGGGTTGATCTTTCTGACCTGGATTCAAGTTTCGATCCTGACAGAATGAGAAAATGGAAAAAACTGGCATCCATGGATAACGTTACAGATCGTGAGGTTGTTCAGCTGAAACAAGGTTTAGCTTCAGCTGTTTCAGAAATAGATATTCTTCAGGCAAAATTGAATAATGCTAATGCAGAAATTAAGGCAAAAATGTCAAAAACAAGTGACATTCTAAATGACTGTCGATCTCACCTTGCTAAATCTCAGGCAGAAAATATGGAATTACGCACCCAACTTGAAAAGGAACGCACACGAAATGACACATTGGAGAATCGTATACGAGATACAGATGGCAGTCTAAACGCCGCTAAATCAGCCAACGACGACTTAGAGGCAGAGCTCGACCAAACACGATCACTCCTTAAGGGTGCTAGTAAAAAAGATATCCCAACACTGAAATCTCTTGTGGAAGAGAGAGATCGACTTCTGGAGGTTCTAGCCAGCACACAGAAAGAAAATACTCGACTTGTACAGGTAGGTGAACTTAATGCCTAGGTGGTCACACACAAGTATATATACTGATGTGTCACTACAAAAGTATTGTATCATACAGGTATGTTTCTATACAAATATGTAACTATACACACTATTTTACAGCTACACTATGTAGATATAAATATTCAACTCATTTGCCATTCTTAAACAAAGAATTTGCACAGAAAACTTGGGAATGTACTGAATTTTTCATTTTGTTTTTTTTTTACTATGAAATTATTGTTGGACCGATACAAATGGTAAATTCAATTTACCGTTATGATATAGGAATAAGGGAATTTGAATGACAATTAATGTATTTTCTTTTTCTTTAATATTCCATAATTTTACCCTACAGTGTGTGGAGCAAAATAAGAAACGAATCTGGAAGGGTCAAACAACAGTAAATGATCTCCGAGGAATTCTGGACGAAGCAATCAAGGAGCGGCGACAGCTGTATGATGAAATCAAACGCCTGCAGACAGAAGGCCAACTGTCTCAGGTCTCTGGAATAATTGGGAAGTACATGGAGAAGGGTCTTTATGATATGGAGGAGCGGCAACGACACTTTAATGGCTATGTCACAAGAAGTCGATCAAATTCTGATATTTCGCAGCCTTCTGTATCGGAACTACAAGAAGAACAGGACCAAAGACCTGTATCACCAAATCCTCTCCGTCGGTCCACATCCCCAGCCAATGTCATCAAACAGTCAAAAACTAAACGGTCTGTATCACCAAAATTATATACTGATTCTGTTGAACGAGTCAAAAAGTCACACGTTCATGTTCCAGTCAATGTGACAGACGGTCCCAATAAAACTTCCTTTTTCAATGTGTCTGGAGTTTCAACTTCTGTTGATGATGACATTGATGACGAGTATAATTATGAAGACATTTCGGTGCCATCAAATTTTCGTGAAATTTATCCCCATCGAAAGTCACGTTCTTATAGAAATAACTTCTCGTTGTCAATGGAATCTGATGGCAGGCGGTCACCATCTGACTTTGAAGATATGGAAGTGCAGAAACTGATGGCTGAACAGCAGCCTGTCCGAAGGCTCGATTTCGACAAAGATTTGGATGATAGTTATTTAACACGAGCTCCAAAGAAAGATTTTCATCATCGTAGATCACGCAGCCCAGGTCTGAGCAGAAGTCCCGGAGCAATGGACATTTCGGAACTCAGGGATCAACGCCAACCAATAAGAAGACAACTCTATTACAATAGTCCAAATCAAAACACTGAGGGTGATGGCAGCAACAAAATATATCTAGCCAAACATGATGGACGAGAGCTCATAGAAAGTATCATAGAATCACCAGTAGATAATCGATTCCGTAGTGTTTCCCCACGGGACACTACCCCACCAGCTAGACGGTCTCGTTTAGATATAGACATAAATAATAGCAACAAGATTTTCATTGAAGCCTTAAACAGTGCTGTACAACAGGAAAATGGAAAACGTTATTTTGATGATTTTGATATTATATCTCCAAAATCTCCAATGGATACTAGAAACACCATATTATCCTCCAGCTTAGGACAGGAAAAGGAGCGACAGAGGTCTCAAAGTCCTGGTTTAAAAAGTATTCTGAAGAGTACGAAGGGGGAACAGAATCTGAGCATAAAGGAAGGATTTCCGCATTACAGTCGTTCCTCATATTCTCGCTCTGTCTCACCTGTAAGATCACCAAGATCAAGGTCTCCAAAATCACCCAGGTCAAGGTCACCTGTTAACTCTGGCATTGGCAAACCTCTTTTTGGAAGTGGAACAGCGAAACGATCTGGAATTATTCGAAATCCCTCGGACCTCTTCTCTGAAGATAGCCTTTCATCCCAGGGTCGTTTCATGCCACCATCGACACAATACCGTCACAATCCACTGTAAGTCTTAAACAGTATTTGAATAATTTTGTGAAATATCAGAAAGGTATCCAGATTGTATTTGAATGATTAGGTAGGGTGTATTTTAAGACATCTCACAAATTTAAGAAGAAAACAGATTGGTCAGTTTCCTTGTCAAGTTAAAAATACACTTTAAATGGCCTGCATGTGATACCAATAGTAATCAGAACTACAATATATCACTGACACTGTTGCTTTTTAATTGGCTTTCAGATAAAGTAATATTTTTTTGTTTACATTATCCAAGAATTCCATAACTACATAACATATATAAGTAGTGAAACCTGTCTGAACTGATTACTTCAAGAAAATCTCATCATTTGATTAAAATAAGCATTGGTAGGGTGGGCAGGGCAGAGGCAACACTTTTATCCTGGTGTCTTAATGGATCAGAGGCCAGTTTAGACAGGTACCACTTCAGCACTAACACAATGATATTACCATAATTAACATCAGTGTACATACCACCGGTTGTAATGGATGTGAAAGGAAAACAGATTGTTACCTGATCTCTAAATCAACAACATTCTTTCAGAAGTATTTTGGGGGATTAAGGAATTACATGAATTGTAACTTTGTTGTGAATCTAAGCAAAAAAGAAGAGGGAGCATTAAAGCTGTCTGGATATAAATCAGTGAGACTTCTCTCCGAAAATGATCTTATTTCAATCACACCTATTACAGTCTGAATTTTTAATCAGCTTTTTGTTATATTTACTTATACCATAATAGTTGAGGTTCTAATTTACAAAGTTGAAGAAATGAATATATTGAAGTCAATTTGATGCATAGATTTTGACATATGAAAATGAATATGAAATATAAATTTCTTTTTATTATTTGAAATTTTAATTTCATTATCTTTATATTATCAGAAAAGTAAACAACAAATGTGTATGTTTTGCCTTTAAAGGCGGCTCAAAACACATAAAACTGAATGGCAATTTTCAATACAAAAGAATGAGAATTAGAACCAAATAATGGATTAAATCCTGGATTGTGATTTCATACACAAGGACTTTGAGTTTGATAATCATGAAAACCATATGACCACTGATACACACATTCACAGTACATAGTCTAGAGGATTTTTATAACATGTTTTGGACAACGGTAAAGGAACATAGATTTCAACAAATGGAAAATTCAACATTGTGATTTTTAAAAAATTTCAAAATTTCATAAACCTGACATAAGACTGAAAAGAAAGTTTTTATTGCTCTAAGATGATAAAGAGTAAAAACTGCCCATAATTCATAAATGTGTCATTCTTTTTCTTTGACCATTCACCTCATGTTTTATTCGTTCATAGTAAAATTTGAACACAAATGATACTTTTAACAAGAAACTATTTTTTAATAAATATTCATAGTTTCCAATTTTATCCTGAATTGATTTTGATTTGTTTTATACAATTAATAGCCATATTCTATTTATGGTAAGTAAGTTGTAATGGTTTCTGTGTGTAAATTGTTTCACCCCATTTTGATTTCCCATATGTTTGAAATAGTTTGTCAGTTTTCTGATTTGGCCTTTAACGTGGCCTGCCTTTCCCAAAATATCTAAATGTGATGATTAATTTTTTTCAATACTATCCATCCCAACGATATAATTTATTACTCCATCCCAACCATATAATTCATTGCTCCATCCCAACCATATAATTTATTACTTCATCCCAACCATGTAATTTATTACTCCATCCCAACCATATAATTTATTACTCCAACCCAACCATATAATTTATTACTTCATCCCAACCATATAATTTATTACTCCCTACCAACCATATAATTTATTACTCCCTACCAACCATATAATTTATTACTCCCTACCAACCATATAATTTATTACTCCATCCCAACGATATGATTTATTACTCCCTACCAACCATATAATTTATTACTTCATCCCAACCATATAATTTATTACTCCCTACCAACCATGTAATTTATTACTCCATCCCAACCATATAATTTATTACTCCATCCCAACCATGTAATTTATTACTTCATCCCAACCATATAATTTATTACTCCCTACCAACCATGTAATTTATTACTTCATCCCAACCATATAATTTATTACTCCATCCCAACCATATAATTTATTACTCCATCCCAACCATGTAATTTATTACTTCATCCCAACCATGTAATTTATTACTCCATTCCAACCATATAATTTATTACTCCATCCAAACCATGTAATTTATTACTCCCTACCAATCATGTAATTTATTACTCCCTACCAACCATGTAATTTATTACTTCATCCCAACCATGTAATTTATTACTATATAATTTATTACTCCATCCCAACCATGTAATTTATTACTCCATCCCAACCATATAATTTATTACTCCATCCCAACCATATAATTTTTATTTATTACTCCACCATATAATTTACTCCACCAACCATATAATTTATTACTCCATCCCAACCATATAATTTATTACTCCATCCCAACCATGTAATTTATTACTCCATCCCAACCATATAATTTATTACTCCATCCCAACCATAAAATTTATTACTCCCTACCAACGATATAATTTATTACTCCCTATCAACCATATAATTTATTACTCCATCCCAACCATATAATTTATTACTCCCTACAAACCATGTATTCTATTACTTTATCCCAACCATGTAATTTATTACTCCAACCCAACCATATAATTTATCCCAACCATATAATTTATTACTCCATCCCAACCATGTAATTTATTACATCCCAACCCTCCACCAACCATATAATTTATTACTCCATCCCAACCATATAATTTATTACTCCCTACAAACCATGTATTCTATTACTTTATCCCAACCATGTAATTTATTACTCCAACCCAACCATATAATTTATTACTTCATCCCAACCATGTAATTTATTACTCCATCCCAACCATATAATTTATTACTCCATCCCAACCATATAATTTATTACTCCATCCCAACCATATAATTTATTACTCCCTACCAACCATATAATTTATTACTCCATCCCAACCATATAATTTATTACTTCATCCCAACCATATAATTTATTACTCCCTACCAACCATGTAATTTTTTACTCCATCCCAACCATATAATTTATTACTCCCTACCAACCATATAATTTATTACTCCCTACCAACCATATAATTTATTACTCCATCCCAACCATATAATTTATTACTCCCTACCAATCATGTAATTTATTACTCCCTACCAACCATGTAATTTATTACTTCATCCCAACCATGTAATTTATTACTCCATCCCAACCATATAATTTATTACCACCTACCAACCATGTAATTTATTACTCCCTACCAACCATGTAATTTGTTACTCCCTACCAACCATGTAATTTATTACTCCATCCCAACCATATAATTTATTACTCCCTCCCAACCATGTAATTTATTACTCCCTACCAACCATGTAATTTATTACTTCATCCCAACCATGTAATTTATTACTTCATCCCAACCATATAATTTATTACTCCATCCCAACCATATAATTTATTACTCCCTACAAACCATGTATTCTATTACTTCATCCCAACCATGTAATTTATTACTCCATCCCAACCATGTAATTTATTACTCCCTACCAACCATGTAATTTATTACTCCATCCCAACCATATAATTTATTACTTCATCCCAACCATGTAATTTATTACTTCATCCCAACCATATAATTTATTACTCCTTACAAACCATGTATTCTATTACTTCATCCCAACCATGTAATTTATTACTTCATCCTAACCATGTATTCTATTACTTCTTCCCAACCATGTAATTTATTACTCCCTACCAACCATGTAATTTATTACTTCATGCCAACCATGTAATTTATCACTCCATCCCAACCATATAATTTATTACTCCATCCAAACCATGTAATTTATTACTCCCTACCAACCATATAATTTATTACTTCATCGCAACCATATAATTTATTACTCCCTACCAACCATGTAATTTATTACTCCATCCCAACCATATAATTTATTACTCCATCCCAACCATGTAATTTATTACTTCATCCCAACCATATAATTTATTACTCGCTACCAACCATGTAATTTATTACTTCATCCCAACCATATAATTTATTACTCCATCCCAACCATGTAATTTATTACTCCAACCCAACCATATAATTTATTACTTCATCCCAACCATGTAATTTATTACTCCATCCCAACCATGTAATTTATTACTTCATCCCAACCATATAATTTATTACTCCATCCCAACCATGTAATTTATTACTTTATCCCAACCATATAATTTATTACTCCCTACCAATAATGTAATTTATTACTCAAATTTATTGTATTTGATTATTTCTACTGACATTCCAAAACTTGTAAAGGATTAAATCCAGATGAATTTTGACATGGTTTTGCTTGCGTATTATTTTGAACTCATGAATAATAATTCCCCTTCATAAAATATATTCCAAGTTTCCTTGAGCTCCTTCATCTGATACTTAAAGTTTTGATGGGCAGGCAGGTGTGCATCACATATGTTCCTAAAAACTGCTAATGTTGTTATTCTGGTTAAAAAATAATGCCATTGTGATTATGCCTGAGGGGTAAGAGATTTTTTAAGGAGGAGGCATTCTTCACTTTTTAATATCAACCATTTGGAATTTAGAAGCCTGGCCAACTGGTCACAAGGATAATTGAGTTGCATCCCCTTCGGCATTCCAGATAATTTGTCTGCAAAACAAGATTGACAAATATCATTTGAGGGAGACATACATGAAGGTGATTGGTCAATGAAATAGTATAGATTGATGTATGTTTGTATATTCATTTCTTTTTTTCAAACTTTTTTTATTATCTATATATTCAATGCTAGAAACATAATTTAGAACTATGTGAATTATAAGCATGTGACTTTATATTCATATTCTATTGGAGCAGACAGAAATCTCCTTCACTCTCTGAAGAACACAGGATTTATGCTGACCTATTAATAGCAAAATATACGAGTCGTCATGGTTTTGGTGCCTACAGCTAGCGCCACCTATCAGCTCCTTTGGTAGGTTGGTAAAAGTGAAAAATAATTCAATGTGAAAACTGTTCATTTTGCACATTTTGTGTTGGTTATTTTACAAACTTTCAAGTAATTCACTTCTTTGTGGAGTTTTTCAATCATTTTCCCTCACATTTGAAAACAAATTCACACAATAAGTTATAATTGGATTCTTAAAAGACAGGATATCAATTTTTCTTCATACTGATGGTCATTTAATAGTTAAAGATTTATTCAATCAAATGTGCAATTTTCTTTATCGTTCAGATTTTCATTGCACTGTATGTGATAAATGCTTCTAAGTGTTCAATCAACATTTCTTAAAACATTATTCTAGATAAATGTTTCTCGTTTATCTCTTTTGTTCTGGTAGGGTTAATTCTAAGTTTGAAAAAATGATGGGTAAATCAGTTTCTTAGGAGTCTTAGGATTTTTCAAAAACCCAAACACATTAGAAAGCTACATTGATGTAATTATTGGATAAAGAAGGTATTCCTTTGGTAAAAAAAGGATGTTCCATTGTTGAAAAAATGCATGTCATAACTGCATGGTAATTGGTCTGTTATGTCCACTGTGGTTTGTTGTTTGGTGTCGTTTGGGATATATAACACTGATATCACATCACAATTGTCACCTCCCACTGTTGATTGTTTTTTATGCTACATGCCAATATAACATGCAAATCAAAATTGAAGAATGGAATACATTACATGCATGTGGTCTGTAAATTTCACGTTAAGGGTAAATTGAAGCTGACTAACAGAAAAAAATACCGGATGGAAGAAACGAATTGTATCTTTTTTTTTAATTTGAAAAAACAACTATTTGCTCACTTTGATTAGTTGACCATTTTCAAACTACTCTTTTTAATTATAATTGGTAATTGGGATAATTACTAGTTTAATTTGATTTATATACTTTCTGTTCAGTATTGTAAATCTGTATTAAATACAATTGTTAAATATCAAGAAATTATCTAAAAAATACACTTGCATTAGAGTATAATAATAAAGAACAGTTTCATTTAATATGTCATTTAAGCATCAAACCTGCTTCATATTCATTCAACCACTGAAGTCTTGAAAGTGCTATCTTTCTATATATATACATAACCAGATCTTTCAACGTATACATATTTATATATTCAAGTTAGATAGTTTCTTTCCAGTAGAAAAAGATGTCATCCGTAGACCTCATTCTGTAGTGTCCACATCTTCCGTATAATATGAATACATTTCCTACGTTTTTGTTCTTATTTATGTAAATCATGGTGAGTACTGCCAGTTTATGGCATTTAGTGGTTTAGAGGGAGATAACTTGTAGAAAGATATTTTTTCTCTTTATTCGTCAGTGAGAAAAATTTGCACTTATCAATGAAATTCTTTTGAAATTGCTTTGATCTGTACGTTAGTGATGTGCGTTATCAATTTAGAATTAACACTAAAAACAAATTCAACAACTGTGGTGTTGGTAACACTTGTTTTGGAGATGAGAAATCACTGTTAACTCACTGGCTTAGATTGATTGTAGTAACAAATTAATCAACAAAGAGAAAAAATCTTATTACTTTTTCAGAAGCTGATAAAATTCCTACTATTTGCTGTTTACCAGGTAGTAAAAATCCAGGAATGGGTTGCTGAATAAATTACTTAGCTAATCCAGTCATAAAGACATATTGGTTAGAGTAGTATTAAAATGAAACAAAATGGTAAATGGACACTGATTTATCTTGATGACCTCTACTGGAAGTATTATTGCCTGGTTCAGTTATATCCATTTTGTACAGTCAGTTTGATTTAAATATTAATTTGAATGACTTATTTAAGTTTCATAATTCTGATTAAAGAAAACAAAATAAGATAAGATTAAGAAAGTCAATGAAGACAAATGACAAGATGGTATCAGCTAGATGTTTTGATCAATAATATGTTAGAACAAATAAGTAACAAATGGCCAACTGCATCAGGTTGGTCAGATTTAGCCTATGTTCATGGCTCGGCCAAATTTAAATATGTGCTTTGGATTTGTGTGACCAAATTCTTCATATACATAAATCTGGGCATTCTGTTTATCAGACAAAGAGTCTGAACAAATTGGGGTCAATTTAAGACAGTTTGTTTCAACAGGATTTATATGCTAAAGCAGCTTTCCATATTTGATTAGGTTCAGCTTATACAGAAGTTTATAATTATATCCTGACACTTTGAGGGTGAACATAATATCAGGATCCAGAAGTTATATAATTATATCCTGACACTTTGAGAGTGAACATAATATCAGGATCCAGAAGTTATATAATTATATCCTGACACTTTGAGGGTGAACATAATATCAGGATCCAGAAGTTATATAATTATATCCTGACACTTTGAGGGTGAACATAATATCAGGATCCAGAAGTTATATAATTATATCCTGACACTTTGAGGGTGAACATAATATCAGGATCCAGAAGTGATATAATTATATCCTGACACTTTGACACATATAGAAATCAGTGGTCCAAATAAGACAGCGGTCAATTAAGACATTTTACCAGGAGTAACACAGTAAAAGAGATTTTAAATTAGACACTGTTAACATGACATACTTTACAGGAGGAAGGGATGGTCAGGTGGCAAAAAAATCTTACCAAGGGAAGCAGGGTCAATCCTTCAATCTAATGTGAAAGTTGATGTTGTCACTTTCTCAACCATGTGGGTCTACTTCAGATATTCTGGGCGAACAAGGATGATTGATTTGTTATAAAAATAAAATGTTAAGAAATGTATATTTCTGGATCAATAAAGTCTATATACACAGTGTAATTCTAAGTTTTTTAGAACACTTAGAAAACTTGGTAGGATTATAATGTTTCTAAAACTTGGTAGGATTATAATGTTTCTAAAACTTGGTAGGATTATAATGTTCCTAAAACTTGGTAGGATTATAATATTTCTAAAACTTGGTAGGATTATAATGTTCCTAAAACTTGGTAGGATTATAATGTTTCTAAAACTTGGTAGGATTATAATGTTCCTAAAACTTGGTAGGATTATAATATTTCTAAAACTTGGTAGGATTATAAGGTTCCTAAAACTTGGTAGGATTATAATGTTTCTAAAACTTGGTAGGATTATAATGTTCCTAAAACTTGGTAGGATTATAATATTCCTAAAACTTGGTAGGATTATAATGTTCCTAAAACTTGGTAGGATTATAATGTTTCTAAAACTTGGTAGGATTATAATGTTCCTAAAACTTGGTAGGATTATAATATTTCTAAAACTTGGTAGGATTATAATGTTCCTAAAACTTGGTAGGATTATAATGTTTCTAAAACTTGGTAGGACTATAATGTTCCTAAAACTTGGTAGGATTATAATATTTCTAAAACTTGGTAGGATTATAATGTTCCTAAAACTTGGTAGGATAATAATGTTTCTAAAACTTGGTAGGATTATAATGTTCCTAAAACTTGGTAGGATTATAATGTTTCTAAAACTTGGTAGGATTATAATGTTCCTAAAACTTGGTAGGATTATGATATTTCTAAAACTTGGTAGGATTATAATGTTCCTAAAACTTGGTAGGATTATAATGTTTCTAAAACTTGGTAGGATTATAATGTTCCTAAAACTTGGTAGGATTATAATATTTCTAAAACTTGGTAGGATTATAATGTTCCTAAAACTTGGTAGGATTATAATGTTTCTAAAACTTGGTAGGATTATAATGTTCCTAAAACTTGGTAGGATTATAATATTTCTAAAACTTGGTAGGATTATAAGGTTCCTAAAACTTGGTAGGATTATAATGTTTCTAAAATAGGATTATAATGTTCCTAAAACTTGGTAGGATTATAATGTTCCTAAAACTTGGTAGGATTATAATGTTTCTAAAACTTGGTAGGATTATAATGTTTCTAAAACCTGGTAGGATTATAATATTTCTAAAACTTGGTAGGATTATAATGTTTCTAAAACCTGGTAGGATTATAATATTTCTAAAACTTGGTAGGATTATAATGTTTCTAAAACCTGGTAGGATTATAATATTTCTAAAACTTGGTAGGATTATAATGTTTCTAAAACCTGGTAGGATTATAATGTTTCTAAACCTTGGTAGGATTATGATGTTTCTAAATCAGATAATAGTTGACACCAAACAAAATGATTGAACACATGGACACAAGAAAGGATGTAACTGAAGTGTTTTCATGAAAAAGATAATTTTCTACATGAATATTATTTAGAGAACAATATCATTTTTTTTCCCCATCTTATTCTGAAAGTTGCTTGAATGACTAAATTGATTATTTTGCACAATTTGTAGGACCCCAAGCTTACGAATGAGCAACAGTACAAGAGTGAATTAACAGATATCTGTGTCACCAGTGGATCCGATACTGATCAAGACTAGAACTTCAGGGAATCCTGATGGTCTGTTTCACCAAATCATTTCATTGTTAATTTCATTAGGGACTTTCTCATCCTATTGGAGATATCTCCATTTCATCAATCAGACTTTGGATTTATCAGGAATTTTGTCTTCAAATGGAGCCTGAATTATTCTCTGTTACTCACAGGAATTCAATTCACATTTTATTTAGTACATCAAACAGTTTTGCTTTTGTAATAAGCTGTGATATTTCAAGATTGTCCATTAATTTAGAAAATATTTATTTCTGGTATAATGGTTTTTTTAAGAAACTATCATTGTTTTGTATATAAATGTTATATCAAGTGTGACAGAGAAAACTTGAACTGTTGAACAGATCTTTTTCTACAACCTTTGTATACTCATGAGCTCACCCTTATATCTAGTAAGGTCAAAGCTGTGATATCTTTAAATATCAGTGTAAGTTCAATCTAAACTTTAGGACATTTTTTTAAAGAATAATATAATGTACACATGTAAAATCTTTAAGTGAGTTCTTTTTGAAATACACATTTAGTGTATGTACTATACATTAGAGAATTGTCTATATTGCTGACATTGTCAGAAGGCTGTGAAATATTTTTACTTTCATTTTAGATCACAAAATCAAAAGATCTTTTTGTAAAACAAATCATATTCTGTGGTGTTTCAACATTGGTGCTCGTAATATTGTTACTGAACCAATCAATAGATATCTTTCCATTCACATGTGGTGGTCAGTTTTTCATTTGATTTTATGTTTAATTTTATCTATGATTAAATCTTTGATACAACATTCTGTTGCTTAATCCGTTCAATTTTTAAGTAATGTTTGATTTTGATATTTTTCCTTGTTGATTTATAATCCATCAATAAACTTTAGCATTTTGTGTTGTTTTTATTTTAATGGAATATATAAAGATTCTTTTGTTATCTATATATACAGAAAATTATACAATATATCAAAATCTATTTTTAGTATTTTACAAATGGAATAGATGGTAGTCCATAGATGGATTTGAAATTAAAATTGAATATTTTCAGATATGCATCAAAATCTTAAATTTATTTTTTATGATTATTCATGTAGAAGTGATATTTATGACAATTAAAAATAATTTTTCATGATGTTAGATTTAAAATTTTTCCAAACAATGTTGATCAGTTTTAAATTTCTCTATATATTATTATTTAATTTCAAATCATGAGTCATGATAGATAGCATATAGTATATTTATTTGTATCTAGAATTATCAATGTCTTCATAATACATTTTACTTGGGGTAAGCTATTTAAATTTGATAATATTTTACTTAAAAATAAGGATATGATGAAATGATGACAGATGTGCCATGAATTTTTAAAAATAATCATGCATATGAAATTATTTACCATATTTATTTTTATTACTTGTTTTCCCATACATGTTAGTATACACAAGTTTTTTTTTTTAACATTCTAAATGTCTAAACCATTCAACAATTATGTTCCATTTCACAAATTTCTTATTTTCAAAAAATATATATTGAAAAAAAATCAGATGTAGTTTATGTTTGAACGGCAAAATGTGATCTAACAATGCACATGGAACAAGAAGTAAAGTCAAAGTGAAGTCATTTATAAGGAACAAATAGGTTACAGTGACCTACTTTTTAAGCTGTAGTGAGGTTTACCTGAAGAAATGGTTGAATGTGCTATATCACTTATTGATTTTCAGCCTCCCTAAAACATAAGTTGCATTATTTTTTATCTGGCTGAATATCCCATAGAAATTTGTGTTGGAGTCAATCCAATTTCTTCTAGAATTATTGAATGTTTTAGCTGTGATAACCCATGGTTGGTAAATGAATAATCCTAACCATGAGTAATTGACGATATCCTGAAAATTAATTCAAGTATACATTACAGACTTCATCAGTGTATGCTTAACTTATTTCAGAATGAAACTTAATTTAAATGATATCTGTAACAGAAGGAGGAATCCTCTGTACCATTACCTAATACCTTTCTCTACTATTGAGAACATTGTCTTGAGAAAGGAAAACAAAGCTGACACAGAAAAACATTCCTAGCGATAGATGAATTCATTTATACATGTATATGTTTGAGTATTTGTAATAGATACATCAGTTGTGATAATTATATTGTTCCAAAGTGTTTGAGAGTTGGAAAATGTCACTAGTTAAAGTGCTAGAATAAATAGGTTTTATGGCTATCTTGCCCGTAATTTTTCACTGTCAGTTGTTGATAGTGTAAATCATGCGTAATATGTGTAAAAATTGTGTTTGTTTTTATTATTTTCATACATTTACTTACATTTTAGTAGAAATAATTTTTATAATCAGGACTGTGATATGAATAAGCACATCTAATTGTTACCACTTCATGATTACTCCAAACATGTTTTAATGAATATATAGTGTGATAATATTAGAGAGTTTTTAATACAGCAAGAAAGCAATAAACCAGCAAAACAAATTACTGTCAAAGTGAAAACACAACCCCAAAATCCCACTTAAAAGTGAGATAAAAATTGCCTTTAAGCTTATTGCAAAGATAATGTTTATTCCGGAGAGAAGTGTTTGTTGCTGCAAAAAATGTTGGGCTCATCACCAGACACAGACTTACTGCTAAATAAGTTCTCCTTCTTGTTTTGTATTTAACTTTATGTAATATCTTGAATTATAGAAAGTATTTAATTATATAGCTGGATCATGCTTGATTATATCATGTTTGTTACATGTACATTGCTTTATGTTAAGTGTTTGGTAGGTGGTGAAATTTTTCTTCATTGTCAGCCATATTTTGTAATTTTGACGTTTGGTTTTAATTCAGATCAGCTAGAATTTAATCATTTAGAAAAAAAGAGGTTGCCATAGTGATTAGTTTTCTTAATGGCACTAGATGTTAGTGTCAGGGACATAGTTTACTAAAGATCAAGGTCGTTTTTTTCACCAGATATGAGTACTAGATGTCAAATAGGTTTTTGAATGTTACTGTGAATATTTTTATCATAAGATCTTATAGTAGTCATATGGGAACTGGGTTAACAAAGGTCAAGGTTATTTATTGTATTGATGAATGTTTAACTTGATTTTATATAGGAGTGGCCATAATATCATAAAAGTTTGAGTAAAAGGCTGCAAATGTAAGTGCACATCCTGAATGTGTCAGCCATTTTTGAATGTACATGAAGGAATGAAGAAAATATTATACATTTTTATCCATCTATTTTGAAAGTTCTTTTTGCTGATATTGTTTTTTAAAATAATGTACATCAGCACTGTAAGTATTGCTTTACATCCCATGATATGTATGAAACAAACATGCATTGTTTTGATATAAGATAAAAGGTCAAAGAAATAGACATTTTTCTCCACAGGTTGTTTCAGTTTGTTCAAAATTCTTGGTGAATTGCTGTATCTTTAAGTAAGGTTGGAATTACTTTATGGAATTATGTTGATTTTTTACTCTCTGAAGTGTAAAAATTGGTGGAAAATTTAATGTTTTAGACAATTCTCATGAACAAGAAGAGGTTATCAATTTCTTTTGTCATATGTTTTGTTTCAGTCAATAATCTAGTGTTAATTGTATATCAGCAGAACAATAGATATGTTCTTAAAACATTATACAATTAAATATTGTTTATCAAAAATGTATATGCTCGTCATAGTTCTGCATGCACTTGCACAGTAATAAATGTTCTAAATTATTAAACAATAGAATTTGATGCAAAAAATAAATAAAAAGAAATGCTTGTGATTGATGAAAGTTTTCATTTAGTTATTTACACTTTGTAAGTCCAAAGATGATATGAAAAGACACTGGTTAACTCAAAAAGGAAGAGGGAAGGAAAACATAAAAATCTTATTCTAGTTCACATTACCATTGAAATCAATTATAATTGAGTTTAATCAAGTTTACTTAGTCTCTTCAAAAACTGCCAAGCTGATTGAGAAACAAATTTTGTTTAAGGGTTCCAACTCATTGAGGATCAAGAAAAAACACAAAATGTTCACTGTAATTAGGGTTGGAATGTGTTGATGTCTGTTAATTTCTCACAAGTTATATGTTAAGTTTTAACATCGATACATGTTGGTGTTGTACAACAATGATATATCATTGTCACTAAATGGTAGAGGACACCAGAGGATATTTTTCCCACATCAATTTGACAAATATACTGGTTTAGGTGGTAATAGGTTTTGCCAAATTGTCAGTACTTTAAAAGATCAAGGGAAATTTTCGAAACGGTGTCTAAAATTAACGGCAATTACTGAAGAAAAACTGAAAACACCATTTTGTACCGACCTGTAAACGAAATTTGCAAAAAAAAAAAAAAAAAATTGTGACCTTTGACCCAACATTTTCTTATTAGACATATTTTGTGTTAAGATGTAATGGGGAAAAATCCCCGTAGTTACCTACAAATGATATAATTGTGTGAATGTTGTTAAATGAAACGTTTTAGAGTTTTGACCATCTTAAAATGTTTGACCTTAGACGTCATAGCGGCCATATTAGAATTTTGACCTCCTTGAAAATGTTGCTGGAACGCCTCCATACTAGCCCTATAAAGCACATTATATACAATGTTTACTACCGTTTAAGTGCATATTCCCCACAAACGTTTTAAGAAGAAGAAATATAACAAAAACAACAAGTCTTTTCACCAGATGGTAAACAACTCGAATTAAATTGTAATGCATACTAATCCCGTGAACTCTTAAAAGTGAATATGTGCAACAATTATAAATAACTGATTAATTCATTCTCGACAAGCTGACAATAGTACATCTATAAAGCAAGTTATGGCTACAATACCTACATACATTAAAGGATTAACGGTCTAGAATGTATTACATGTTTAACAGCAAGGTGGAACTGAAAACGAAAAGAAATTTCGAGACAAAATCATGTTGAACAAAACAAAGTACATTAACTCATTGAATTCATATTGGATCAAAGTGGTGTTTGTCAAGTTTCTAAGAAAATAGTTAAAAACTAAGAGAGGGAATATCTGGATAAGAGAAAAAGTTTAAAAACAATAATTGCCTTCAAACATGGTTGAATCGAACTGTTGTGAAATGGAAAAAACAATAATATGTACTACTTAT